GTGGCTGGGTGTAACTCCTAAATCAATGAAAACGTGCCTTGCGGTCACAAAGTCAGGTGTGCCTGGTGCACAAGTAAATACTCTATTCATTCTGCTATGGAGTATGGGTCACCCTAACTCTTCCGAAGAAGCCGACAACAGTTTCAACAGAATCTCGGGTTAGGTGCAACGCTGCAAACATGACTCACAATACCTCCCATCCCCATTCCTAAATTATTAGGTCACCACTTATCACACATGTACTACGTTTAAAAGGTAGTGTCAATCAGCATCTACTCTGCCAGGAAGAATGTTTGGTCTAAAACTGTCCACTTTTGGGAATCCGTATCCTTCTAGACCCATCAGCTTGGCAAGTAACCAGGGAACACAAACGATTCAAACTACAGTCATTATATAACACAACATATAATACACCTATATATTGTGTATGATACACAACTGAACTGAATTTTAATGACACTTATATTGATTTTCTGAACTTGCTTGTCTTCACTTGCACGTGTTTAGAAAGAGTGCTTTTTTACGTCTGAAACACTTCATTCTGTGTTTCTAACCGTTCAAGCTGGCTTGCCTATGACAGCAATATGGTTTAATCCAGACTGTCTTTAAAGGATGATCAGAAGCAAAATGTCAACGACGCCTGGAAAGCTCAAGACCACTGCTCACCTCCGCGGGACCACTGTGGAAAGCGCTACCCTCGGCTCAGCTCTCGGCAGACACGCAGGGCGAGCACACAGGCGGTCAGAAACACGCTGCGGAACAGAGCTGGGAACAGCATCCCATTCTTGTTCCATTACATTTTTACACCTTTATTTTTATTTAAGGTTGGCTAGTTTGCCAATCATGACCAGACAACATATTTGAAGTTTTAACTGCCCCAAACTGGCACGGCAACTAGGCAAGCTGGTTTGTAAGATGGTGGGATAAAAGGTTTCCAAATGAATGAGCTTCCCCAGGGCAGGGCAGAGACGGCCAGGTTCCACTTCCCCGTGGGGCTTAGTGCTTCCCATTCCAAGAGCGAGCGAGCTCACAGTTGCAGACTAAATCACCTGATGCAAAATTATCTGTGACCGGGTGCTTTCATTTCCCTCCGAGTCAAACTCGCCACCAAAAGCTGAAAGGCCTTCCTTGTCAAGAAGTTCCTGTTGCCTTGATCCCACCGCGTGTCAGGTGGAAATGAATCCTGCCCGAAACCAGCAGAAGAGACCAATTGGAAGGTTAGTCTGAAGAAAAGTCCCTTCTCAGGAGATGAGGTGGAGCAGTATCTCCCACCTCAACAACCAGGAACAAGCCAGCGCCGGGCTACGGGATGCTGTTCCCCACTGATATGTAAAGTATGGTGCAGAATCAGTAAGCAGCTTGCCGTGGAAGACAAGTTCAGGAGATCTTACAAAAAAAAACCTTTAAACATGCGTTAAGTGCTGTACACACTGCACCCCGAGGGACTGAGAAGATCTGTTGAGGCTTCGTGGTTGAACGTTTCTACCATTCTAAACAAAATATACAGCGTTTTGCCATCAAGGACTCTGTGGCGTAATACTAAAAGTAAGCGTCAGTTTCTGAATGAACAACAACTGCTTCATTTCAAGCTCTCAAAGAATAAAAAAAAATTATTGGCAGCAGCCCTGCCATCATACAGCCTGATCTGGTCAGATTTAGAGAACTTAAATCTGGCTGGACCTGATCTGTATTTAAGTGCACAGCAATGGCAGTGGACAACAACGCTAAGACGCAGGAGTATCGATGCCCCAGCCTGGAAGATGGCGAGATTTCAGCTCGTTTTCAATCCATCTCTCTTCACTGTGGCTCAGAAATGACCCTGTACCACTGTGCATTGTTTGCTTATTTAGAATGCATCTCATTTGTGGGCAAACAAAATTGTCAACTGCAGTTGCTATTTGTGTATAGAGTGTAATTTCAGCACACTATCCCTCCCTTACACACAGGGCGAGCACTACAAAATCTATTTGTCCCTAAAAGTTAACCTATCCATGACGGCCATGCATTTAATCATTACCTGATTCAACTTGTAACGCACAATACCCACAAAGTATTACTTTTTACTCTTACTATAAAAGTAATGTTTTATCATCATGCTGAAGCCTAAATTCTATTAATTTTTAAAACCAGCTCCAACCCCAGAACAAGTGAATACAGATACAGCAGCTCAGCGCCCGTATAGCTCGTCTATACTGTGGAGCTGCATGTCCAGGTAGAGTGAGCGTCAACTTTCACAGCATCTGAATGATTGAGTTATTGAGTTACCAATAGCTACCAGCGCTTCTTAAAACCCTCAGACCATGTGAATAATGTAGCTCTAGACACCATCAGGCAGAAGTATGTCACCTGCACCGATCATTCCAAGCAGACATGAGCGTAGAGACTGGTTTGGAGATGGATGCTGTTTTTCCATCTGCTGTAACTTCACTGGATAGGTCTCTAAAATACTGAGCCTGTAGATTGGTCACTTGGTTCTTTTGCTTAAAACACAAATTAAAAAGTGTTCCTCAAAATCGAGCATTTCAGTCTTTAGTTCAGAATGCCTCAGAAATTGCACTTAGCACTAGAAGACATCCTCCGATTCAATTTTGCACAAAGGAAACTACAGCTCTATCGTTCCTCAGCAACCCTCCAAAAAAAGACAGCGCTCACTATGGAGATTAAGCTTCAGGGTGTGGTGAGGGGAATGAACCACTGAAAGTCTTTAGAGAATACATGATAGCACTTCCTTTTAGAGTCTAGATAACGAGACTGGATACTAGATACTGATCAGAAACTGCAAGCCCTTACGTCACATAACTGATACACCCAAAATCTCTTATTACTACTGGAGATTTCACTATAACCAATAGTTATTTCATTCAGCAGAGTGTTTCAATGCCCCAGAAATCCTGACACACGGGATTCTGAAACAAGTACCTTTACATCCAAGTTTTTTTCTTGTATTAATTTCTCTAACTGGAACTACAGCACTTCTTACTTTGCTTTCAGGCATATCTGTGACAGTTCCACCTCAGTGTGACCAGCTACAAGTCTGCGTATAGTTAGGGGGTGTGAAGTTCCATGTGTACAAATCCTATGAAAATATATCCAGGGCTTTAGCTGATATTCATGTTTTATTATAATATAACTTTCATTATTGGGCAACATAGGCAGAGTTAAACTGCCTTACAGAATCCCAATGTAACACAGAAAGACGCCTTTTTATCTAATTTTGTGTATGACATCATATATACACGAAAGGATAGGCAAACTGGGTGTGTAACATTTGATTAATTGTTCCCTACTGCAGATTAATGCAAAACAGTCAGACTTATCAAAAAGCCATGACTGATTTTGCATTAATGTGGGAACGACACGCACTTAACATCTTGATAAAAATCAGCCAGAACAAAACAATAACCAATCAACAGCATGTGCATTTTTAAAGAACAAAAGACAGCAATTCATTGGTACTGTATGTAATTTAAAAAGTCTAAAAGTGACTCAAGACAGAACCACATCTTTTCATACGCAAATACTCAAAGTGTTTCAGGAAAGCCAGGTGGCTCCTATATATGTTTTGAAGAAGGGCTTGCTTACTTTCACATAAACCATGTCATGCTGTGAACATTTTAATCCAATCCATGGCCTGGTGAGTGCATACTGCTTTTTTCACACAGTTTGAGATCACAACTACCCGCCCCTCTCAAAAACTACAAGCAACCACTTTGGTTTCGAGTGTTAGGGGATGTCAGTGGGAGTGCTAATGATGAGGCCTTCTAAAGTGAAAGTGTTTATGTGTACGAAATGGCAGATTAAAGAAGCACACCTATAATCATTGTTTATACTTGGGTGGTTTTTCTCCTGTAATTGCCAATTCCAGAAATCCGGGGAAGAATTTAGACACCTGCAGCTATATCAGGAGTAAAAGAAGAAACACTAAACAGTGGTAAAAGAGGAGCTTTTTTTTCCCACGTTACAGACATCTTGGCATTTGTTTGACCCAGACTAAATCGAGCCTTCCATCAGCACAAAGCGAGATCTGTGTCTTCAGTTCCCAGCAGTGCTGAGTTAAGTGTGGTCACCCAGGTCCACAGCAGATTCGAATCCACTCTACTAAACAGAGGCGTGGTCTAACCACTGCAGATGGTGTCAATGGGTCCCAGCCGTGTGTCACAAATGTTACCTGAACACATGGCATCACCAACCAGCTCCATTTCCAAATCCATACAAAACAACAAACCATATATAACAGGCTCAAACTTGCCAAGTTTTATATTAAGAAAAAACAACAACAACAACAACCACAACAACAACGGGGCAGAGGTTCCAAGCAATATTTCTGAATTCTGCAGACACTGAACAGGGAACGAATCAGAAAGCAGTCATTCCTCGAAGCCCGATCTAGTCTCTGGATCTCCCACACGTCACACTCACGTCTGCTGGATTTAAGAGACCGACGCCTGTGAAGGCACGGCAACAGTAGGAATTCCTCAGCAGTGCCTGGAATTCCCAGAATTTGGAATACCCCAGAGAAACTGTTGTTAGAGGGCCTACAATATACGAAGCATCCATCAAGTTCTTGTTGTTAAAAGAAATGGTATGCATGAAAGTTTGGAAGCACTCAAAGCCAAAGTTTTTTTTTTAGCAATATTTACATTTGTTATACTCGGTTCCCATTCCTCATCTTGAACAGCTATTCAGGATTTCTAACCCCTTTCAAATTTTTTAGCTGTACAGTAAGTAAAAAAACCACACACTGGAACTCAACCAGGGTTGAGAAGCAGTCGGATCAGTGCAGCAGGCCTCGAGTGCTGCCTGCCTCGGCCAGCTGGCTGGCGTCAGCTTTGGTGTGTTTAAGAGATCCGCGTCTTTAGTTCCCAGCAGTGCTGAGTTAAGTGCAGTCACCCAGGTCCACAGCAGATTCGAATCCACTCCACTAAACAGAGGCGTGGTCTAACCATGCAATTCCATCTCCTTCACACAATCTGCCAGAGCCCTCAGAGACCCCCCCCTACCTTTTGACCACCAGCGAGAGAGTCTTGTGGGAGCCTTTGACCAGACAGATGGCCTCCTGCCTGTAGCCACTCAGAGGAACCTCGTTAATGGCGACAATCTCATCTCCCACCTGGAGCTTCACCGCCGCCGCCTTACTGCCCTCCTCGACCTGCAAGACAAACAAACAAACAAGCACCATGACCCACCGTCACAGGGGAGGGGGCTCAGACACATCCCCGCTTTCTCGCACAGGACACCCCAAAGTTTCTCCATAGCAATGATTTACCATTTCCTGGAAATATCTCCCCCTACGAGTTGGGCAAACCAAAAGAGCATTTGTTAGTTAGCCTTTTCGATCAGAAGATTTCTAATTGTCGTTGAAAAGAATGGAAATATTGTATGTTCGCAGTAATAGCTGGAAACGGACACTTTCACACAGTAAGAGGATATCTGTGTATATTTAATGTGGTTTCTCTCTTGGCACATGCTGAATTTTAAGCATAAAATCGCATGAAAGCCTTCAGCACAGTTTATCTTTGCCTCCTTCATTCTTTCACTGATACTTCTGTAATCTCTAGCAATGGAAGGGAGATGGGGAACATTGGACGCACATCACACTGGTTTACCTGACAAAAAAAATGGGTACATTCTGCAAATGCTTGGCAAATTACAAAAAAAAAAACAGGACACAGGAAGACAAGGAAGCAGAAAACAGAAGTTGATGCCAGAGCCTACTGCTCCGGAACGGCCCAGCGTGATTGTCTGCCACCTGGATATTGCAAAAACAGACCCCAACAGTGCCAGCACAGGGGAAAGAAAACAAAAGCAAATGGTATGGCATGATGAAAGGCTTTTCTTTTAGTGGGAACTCCTATAGACCCTGCTGAGGGGACGGGCATGTTCTGGCACCTGTGAAGACGCAGGGGGACAGGGATGAGGGGGCCCTGATATGAGCGGACACTCTGGCCAGGGGTCAGCCTCCCAGCTGTGCCTGACCATACGAAACCACCGCAGGCCATGTTATTGTTGTTAAAAGCAAGTATTGAATTTAGTTTGCTCCGCTATTCTATAGGCTATTTATTGTTAATTGTGATCTTTGATATTTCAACATCTTGTTGTTCAAAGTGTAAATTGCACAGGGCAATGAGATGAACGTCATTCAAGGTCACTTTCTTAAAGTAAAACCTTGGGGCAATAAATCATTCAGAAACTATTCATCTCTGACATTCTCCCAACGCTTTACACATCACACAATCTCCCTATCTAAACCAAACTATACATAACCTAGCAGGAGCAACGGATGAACTCCATATAAACCACGTTGTCCTGGCTCCATTTCAGCACAGGAATACTGAACCTCTCACCGTCTCTCACTCACAGCTTTTACCTGCTGCACGCAGCAGGAACTGAGAGAGCAGCGGATTCAGGCATTAACACAAGCATTTAAACGGCTCCTAATGAGTCTTACTGAATACGAGGTGCCAGATCCCTTTGAAAGCAAGAATGACACAGCCTCAGAGGCATTTACCCTTTTTAAACCCAGTGCATTTTCACAGTTTGGCTCATTTCACAGGATTTTTTTTTTATCCCATTGCCGCTTATTGAAGACCAGTTAGCACCAGCTTAGTGAAATCCTGACATTATTATTTAATAAAGACCTGGTTTTGGAAGAAACCGCGTTTTTTATTTGAAACAAACTCTTTAAAAGTTATGTGATGCTACACAACAAAAAGTCCCGATTACTGGGACTGGGATTACTGGGATTATTTATGATTTATTAATGATCTCGGGCAGCACAAAAATGCGTCTAAAAACCATAAAAGAGACCCTCTCCGTGCTAAAAAAACTGGCGTGAGAGTGTGCTTCTTACGCCAACAACACCGCCGCCGCCCGTGTGAGGGAGAAAGAAGAGAAAGTGAAAGGCAAAACGTCTTCACCACCTCTCTGCAGGAGCACCTGGATTTCTTCAAGCCATTTGCAAACTCACGGCATTGCACAAGAGGAGAGAGGGGGGAAAAAAAAAGAAACGGACAGGAAACTAACGTCTCCTGAGCCTTTGTGATGGTTAGACCGGTATCACGGGAGAGCTACACTCCGTACTCCGGCATGCATGTCGCCAACTGTTCTGGGCTCAGCCTCGCGCCAGTGCCTCAGGCCCCACGAAGATGATACTATCGCCGTCCACGAGGAGCACACGCACACCGGTTTAACAAGAACAGGCCCGCTGCACTGCGCAGGCCCGAACAATGGATCATTGTGCCCTGTGGCCGGTTCTGCCGCCTCCAAAGGAGAAGCTGAGAAGTGTTGTTTTCAACACCACTTTATGATCACTCAAGGTCACAGAGGACTCATGGGACTCGGTCGCCTGTATTGCAGGTTGCAGGAAACAGTAACTTGCACCCGAGACCTCTGTGAGGTGGTGCAGAGAGGGAGCAACGTCACTCAAGAGGTAAGCGGAGAAAAAGCACTGAAACGCAGTGTGAAGAAGTAGTGAGAATCAAGAGACGGCACGGCGAAGCAGGGGGTCAACATTGCTGCCTCACAGCACTGGGGCCTGCTTATAATTTCTGGAGTGCTATCTGTGTGGAGTTTGTATGTTCTCTCTGCATTGTCCTGGGTCTCCTTTGGGTGCTCCAGGTCCCTCCCACAGCCCAAAGACATGCTGGTATTAATTGGTTAATTGGCTTCTGGGAAAAATGACCCTGGTGTGCATCTGGGTGCACCCTGGAATGGACTGGCGTCCCATCCAGGGTGTACCCCGCCTTGCACCCCGTGATTCCCAAGGTAGGCTCCAGGCCACCATGAGCCTAAATTGAATAAGCCATTATAGAAAGCGATGGTGATGTAAAAAAAAAGGTGAAAATGTTCGGCAGTGGGGAAGATTTCTAATACTGAAACAAAGGTTAATAGCAAAATAACATCAGTGCTAATTTTATTCAAAACGTACACACACACACACAACTATGGAACAGCCTGCATACCACTGCATTACATCTATTTGGGTGTGAAGTAGTGGCACACTAAAAGACCTGTTGTGCGTCAGACCTAGAAATTGGGCTGGAAAGACAAAAACTATTAAATCTTAACTGGAAGAAGAAGCAGGCTGAGGTATTTTTCTAAAAAAGATAACTGATCCCAGATGGCAAGCTCTGCTGCTTACGGTTTTAACACAAAGCACACGTGCATTTTTGAAAGGTTTCAACCACGTTAACCGAGAAGTAAATGTTTTAACAAGAGCAGGAAAATGAAACAGAATGTCAACACTCAAGAGTCTGCTTATTTGTTTCTCTCTCTATATATATATATAACTGATCTTTGTTGAAGTTGCATCAATATCTTACAAAGAACACAATTATTCAGTCTTGCAGTTCCGAGATGCTGAACAGAACATAAAAACGTTAATGTGTCATGTCACTCATCTACTTCTCTAAACTGCTTTTCATTTCTGAAAGAACACTCCAGACCTTTGCCTCTGGCTGTTTCCAAATCACATCTTGCCAGAAGAGAGTGAGACCAATGAAATACAGAACAAGTTGTTTCACAGCATAGCTTAACTGTTAAGGCTAACTAAAATGGAATGTGATTATCTCTGCACAGAGCCGCAAAGGACCTTTAATAGCGGTGAGCTGTACTGCAAATACACAGAGCAGCGAACTGGAACTACCACATGCTGAGCCGAAACCCTCTGCCCTCATAATTCAGCTGCAGTCCGCACTTTGTCTGAAAATCACTGTCCCTGCCCAATGCAGTGAAGCATACGCTTCGACTGACTTCATTAAGTGAAAAGCAGGAAATTCTCCACTGTTACTAATGACATCGTTATACTGCTCAAACAGCAGCACCTTGCTCAGTAAAACGGATAAACCTTTCAGCAGAGGAATCTCATTTGACATCTAATTTAAACTTCATTCGTTCAATTCCCAGAGCTTTAATGGCAGGACCAATCCATTACGGTCCTTCTAAAGCCCGACTGACAAAGTAATAGCGCAACGGGTAACTAAGGAGTGTCGAAAAAAGAAAGAAAGGAAATATAGAACAGAACAATCGCCAGTATATTGAGGAAAAAAACAGCTATCTGCTGACTGGTTCCTATGGCAAAGTCAGAGTTGGCAAATATTAAACTTAACTTTTATATTAAATATTTATCAGTAAATAATTTTCTTCCTCAGAAACCTCTGTATTTTGACATCAAATCACTGTGGCCTTGAGACAGCCTCCCAGCCATTACACAGAAAGACAGACAAGGACAGCAGACATTTGCTTTGACAACCTTTTTTATACCAAACACGAGTGGAGTGGACAGTTTGGGCAAAATTGAAGATAAAGGTTTACCTGCCACACATATTATGCCTCGCTTTATTGAAGCAGTCTGTATTTTTAAGATACTGGCATCAACACGATCACGATCGATGCTTCGTTAAGCTACTTTGGTGAATCATCTGCTCACAGCGCTCTCAGTCTATCCAGTGCAGTCAGAACAGCAAAATCTGTTTTATATAATGCATACATATTGTTAACAGCACCACAAAAAAGTCCTTTGTTTGAGGGTTTCTAAAAACAAATGTCAGTCAAACATCTTAAGGAATACAGAAAAAAGGAGGTAGTATTTCACACACCCCCAGTTACAAAGTTTACATTTCGTTCCACGGCAGGGGGTAATAAACTCAAACCAATCTGAAATACTCTCCTCGACGGGAAAGAAAATCATTGCCAGAAGCTGGCACAGGGGCGTAGGCTCTGACAGGAGCACACATCCCCTCGCTCAAAGGAATTTCCTTAAAGCTGGGCAAGTATTTGGCGGCCCCCTTTCACAGAGCTCTGGCCCTGGACCTCCGCCGTGTCGAGCTGCCTTGTCACTCCTCGGCCTCAGCTCCCAGCTCGCGGGGCACGAAGAAAGATGACGAGCCTGCAGCAGGAAAGGGTGTAGATCCTACATGTCAATGTGGTGCTGATAAAGGCCCTTTCCAATATACTCCTTCCTTCTCTCCCTTGCGCCCTGTCATTGCCTTTGTTATAAATAACTCTCAGCTTGAGGCCAGTGGACCATGGACTGCCAGCACAGGATGTGGTTGGAAAGAATATGACCACTTTGCAGACAACCTACTGTAAACACAGCTTCTCGAAGCACCCTGTCAGCAATGCCTGCTAATCTCGGGGCCACGGTCAGGC